AAATAGGAGCAAGTACTGCCTTTTTCAGGGGGAGGTTTCCAGCAATCAACTCTGACAGTTGGACAGAACATCCTTGCTGTAACAGTCTTGTTTTATATGTTTGTATTACTGATTCTGTTACTATATTTGTTTAACTAAATTCTTCTCTTTGTGTCTTTATTCCTAGCTCATAACAAGTCCACAACAATAACCCTCTAGCTTGTGTGGCTCTTGGGATTTGTATTGGGTGAACTATAGTATGAAAATATATCTATATTTTCAATGATAACTTTTTCAGTCATCTCTCTAACAGGTTTATAAAATGTGACACCGTGATCCGAACAAGCTATAGATGAGAAAAAGAACCGTTCCAAAAGCTAAGCAAGGCGCTGAGAAGCGGAATAAATCGTTATAAACAAAGAAAAGAATGATGGATTGCTATATTGTATCCATCCTTTTTACATGGCAGTGACTGCTGGATAATCTAACCTCGGTCAAGGAAAAAAACCAGAGGCTGCGGAAATGTTGTTCTACAGAAGGATACTGAGAATTCCATGGACGGAGTGAGTAAGCAATAAGGAAGTCTTACAGAAAATGACAACAGAAAGAACGCTTCTACTCATATTCAAGAAAAGACAGTTGAAATTGCTTGAACCTATGATGAGGAAGGATGGCTTGGCAAGCTAACACTCACGAGACATATTGCAGATAAGAGAAATATGCGAAAATGAAGAGTGAAGTGTGAATAGATGGCGGAGCACAGGTGGTTTGCTTACCAAAGAGATAAAAACCACAAAAGGATGGAAGATTGTAGAGAGCCATGATCGCGTATATTCTAAAAGGTTGGCATATGAAACGAGAAAACACATAGTCTGGCATAAGGTCATGTGTATAGATCACCCACTGGCGATTGAAGACACTCTTAATTCGGAACAAATTTCCAATATATTATACCAAGTGAACATTTCCTTAGCTTAGAAATGCACAAGTCTGTAAATTGGTAACCACGTATGCTAATGATTGAATAATGGTCTAAAAAAAAAAAAATTGCTTGTCGACAATTAACCAGAAATGACGCTTTCTATCGCCTCGCGTTAAAGACAACTAAATAATCACAGTTGCCAACAAAATGCTGCTGCAAATTAACGCCTTCTGATTGGTTGTTTTCTAGCCAATCATACTGTCAAGCATTACAAATTGTCTCCAATGACAACAGTGAAGATTCGAAAAGAAAAAGAAAACTCTGAGTTGCCTTTGCGTTCATAAGACAGCTGTGAAAACGAAAGACAAAAGAA